GCTTGTCCTAGAACAGGGCCCTTCCCAAATCCTCAAACGAGGAGACCTGGCAGTGAGGGTCCAGGTTGACAGACATGTTTACAACGTCAGCGGTTGTCATGTAGGGAACCTTTTTCTTCGAGGAGCTTCGCAGCCGTTTGAAGTGGCAGGGTCTGCAATTCCATGTCGTTCTTTTTCGTCCCTTATGGCGAGTGGATGTGGTGATGTCGGCCCCCCTATCCTTCCTATCGCTTCCTTCCTCGCGCACCCAACTCACTGCTTTCGGTTTCAGTTTACTAGAAGCAAGAATGTTCCTAGTAGCGATGCCCTTGTTACTAGTAGCTTCTTGCTCCGTTCGTAGCGATGCCCTTTGCTCCGTTCGTATGTTTCGGCCGCATCGATGTGGATGTTGGACATTTTTTTTGGTCCCAACTTAGGGAGCTGGAGACTGCCAACAAGGCGACTTGGAGAGATCAGAGAGTCACCTGGGTGTACCCCGTCCCCCAAAAGAAGCACCTGGGCCTGGGCCCTCCCAGTCTCCGAAATGGAGCAATGCAGGCAAGTTGCAGGTGGCGACGGCAACCTGTGCTTTTTCGGGTCCTGGAAATGGTTGCGTCCAATATGGCAATGAAGATCCTTTGCAGACACATGTGGTTGAGACTGGGGAGTTCCATCCATTTGTTGGGTTTCCAGTTACAGCGGGGTGGTTTCAAGGGTCAATGTAGATAACTTATGCCATACCAGCATCCTCACTGCCAGGTCACCTCGTTCGAGGGTTGTGAAGGGCCCTGTTCCAGGTCTCTCCTGGTTTCATTGGTTGTGCTACATGACCACAAAGACCATGCACGATTGCACAAGAGACTTGTTCTTCATAGTGAGCATGTATCCAGTGCATGTGCCATGAACATGAGGCAAGTGGAACTTGTACTGAGGCCACTTCCAGTCTATATTTTTGTGTCCTCTATCGAAACGGAATAATACCTTTCGCAGTGGATCCCAGTTAGCTATATACGTACATATATATATATTATATATATTATATATATATGTTATATATATTGTATATATTGTATATATATATATTTGACGAAACTGGGTATCTCGGTCGGTCTATGGTTTCGGTGTTGGCCTTTGGAACCGGAACCACTGGTGCCCCCGCGTGGTCAGCCTGGATCCACTGAAAAAAGACGTCCCCTTCACACTGGATCCGCTCCTTCACCCAGGATCCGATCTACTCGCCACCTCAGACGAGAGCTTTCTACTCGCCCTGGCCCATGATCCCAGCATTTGTAAAAAGGAACCGAATGGAACGCAGCATGGACCCGACCAAACCGAACCGTGAAAGGAATCATTTTCTGAATAGCAATTCGATTTTTTGGGAGGAACGTACTAAACCCTAACCTGCCCCCCCCCAAAACAGGCACCACAACTGATTCCGTGTCCTGTCGTTTTTTTTGGGCGAGTGAGAGTCTGGCCAGACTTGACAGCTGCTTCCTTTCAGGGTCACCAAGAAACACCTGTAGGTCCCCTACAATTGTTTTGCTAAGGAGTTTACAACACCAGATCATACCAGGTCCACCATCCACCAATTCTTTAATGGTCTTGGACTTCAATACAAAATTAAATTATATATAGCAGTATATATAGGTCTCCATTTGACACCTCGGTGAGAGGTACGCGCTAGGTAGGTGAGAGATCTGAGGATTTCCATTCAGCAGATGTACCAGTTTGGAACACGTTCATCCACTTCAAGATGCCGGCACCGCAGACCAGTCAACGACGGTGCCGTTCAGCCTCTCAGCATGCAAGGATCAGCTTTTGGTCCAGGCATCATACCCTACCAGTAGCCTTAGACCATTAAAAACCATGTTGGCCTGAGGGTTGCAGTCTAAACTCCTTGGAAAAACACTGGCTGTTTTGGGATGGAAAGACCCTTAAAACCAATGGCGGGCCAGGAACCCCAGGGAGATTCGGCGTCTCGCTCATCCCAGGTGGGCTGATTCGGCATGCAGTGGCCTTGTGAAGTTGCTGCGGTGCATCGAAACACCCAGACGCGACCCTGGACCCTCATATGGAGGGACCGGTCCCTCGGAGAGGTCTGGGGTCTCAAATAGGGCTGTTTGGCAGCGCGTTTGGGCACCACATATTTCGTTCCCGCATTTGTTGGTCAGTGAGATGCAAGTATTTGGCATTTGGGTTCTTTTCAACGTTTTCCTGCATGGTCCTTCCATGCACCACAATTTTTGGGTGAGGTCAATATCCGAACCCACTCCTGCTGCACAGTCGGCCATTACCGACGTGATCTAACGCTGTTGGTAGGATGTCTTCAGTGAGTGTACTTTGGTGTCCGAGAAGACCCTCCAAAGAGTTCGGTCGAGGTTTGGTTTTGGGTGGTGTAGTCGAGCCCCCCAAAAAGGTGAAACAGATAGTGTTCTTTGAGATTCAACCATTCCATCTCATTCAATCGGTCTTTGCGAGCGATTTCACCGTGGAACCACGGTCTCGGACGACTCCGCCATGCTGTAGCAGGAAATGACGGACTTGGATCGCCGCTGCAAGTCCCATGATACTTGCGCTGAAGCGGCCGCAGGGCAGCTGTAAAGAGGGCCCCATGCGTAGCAGCGCTCCTTTTCCACCAAATCCACGACACGCAGGACGAGTTGCAACACTCAATTCATGTGACTGACCATATACAATCAACTTCGTTTGCTTTCAATTCAGTGAAAAGCTTGAACTGTTTGTGGAAGTGGAGCACTGACGCCCTCAGCTGTCGGGGAAGCTCATTTTCCTTCTTCGATCTTCTTTGCATCCTTCCTCTCGGCGTCTGACGTGCGCCATTCCGGCATCCGAGGTATGCCACCGGGGCGTATGCCTGGAGCATCCCATGTATGCTCCCAAATGCTCCAAAAGAAGGAATGCTCAACCTTTCGCCTTTCGCCCAGCATAGAGTAAGGAGCCTGGTGTGCCAGGCTGCGGTGCTTGAACCCCTGTTCTGCGCGATCGGCAAGCATGGGCAAGCACACACGTCTCAGCCGCGTTCCGGCCAAATGGATCGATCAATCTCAAAGGGCGGCGGCCAAAACATTTTTTTGCAGTCGATCTTTTGCGGTCGATTTGGATGGGTATTTGGGAGGATGAGTCCCGTCTCGGTCGGAGCCTTTTTTCCTGACTGATCGTATTGTCCTTCATGTTCTTTGTTTGGGGTTGACACCAGCACCTGGTAGCCTGGTAGCCTGTGATCTACGATCCACCGCAAGACCTCAGACGGACACCTTTAACGCTGGGCAGTTTTTTCACCACGTTACGGTCACTCGTCCGTTTGGGTGACCTGCTGCAGGCTGCGGAAGTCCAGTTTTGGAACGAATCCGAGTGCTTTATTTTTTTTTGATATATATATATATTTATATGCCCTAGGCTTCCAAGACCTTTAAAAGAAAGGTTGACCTGTTGTAGTGTAAATTCCCTGGTGAAACACAGGTTGTTCGGAATTACACCTTTCAATCAATGATGGTTGGAAGCCTAGGGTACATCTTATAGTGCCAACGTTGGATGAATCAACGCCCCCCCTTACAGGGTGAACAAGGTCAACAAGGAGATTGGAGGTATTGGAGGACCACATCACCCTCATGATGACCCCAATCAGCATGCTGTCTCTCAAAGAGATGGCGTGAGACAAGGATGGATCAGAAGATCAGTTTCACCATGGACCAAAAGATATTGGATACTGCCCAAAAAGAACAGAAAAAATAAACGCAATTGCATATTAGACTATAGTTATACTCTTTTCTGGTGCAGCTGGGCTTGATTAATAGGAGTTTCTGACCAGGAAAATAAATATTAGGGGGATGGCAAGGTGGACATTCAGGTTGTAATTAGTTTAGTATTGGGGGCTCGAGCTGGGCTTGATTAAGGAGGGGCATTTGTTTAGGGTGTTTTATTTTTATTTGTTGGGATTCTTTTTTTCAGCAGACTTTGCCTTTGCTGCTTTTCTGCTTTTGCTGCTTTTTTTGGCATTGTTTTTGCTTTATTGCTTTTGTTGCGTTTCTTATTTTGCTGCTTTTCTGCATTTGCTGCTTTTCCTTTGCATTGCTTTTGCTTTTACTGTTTTTTTCCGTTTGCTGCTTGTTTGCTCTTTTGGCTTTTGGTGTTTACCTTGTTTTTTGCTGCTTTGTTTTAGATTTTTTTGACTAGGTTCTGTTTCTTTGCTGCTTTTCTGCTCCTGTTGCTTCTGTTGATTTTTGTTGCTGTTTGGTCTACTGTGCTGCATTTGTTGCTGTTCGGTCTGCACTACTGAACAGCTTGCACACGCTCGTGTTTATATTCTTTAGCTGCGCGAACACATTGGACAGAGAAGCTTCAATATGCTTTGCGCATATGTATGTCATATTTGTTTTGCGCTGCTTACATGTGGTGCCTACAAGATGCAACACAGCCAAAATTTGGATGAGAGCGAGGAGCCATTCAAGGTATGTGATTTCAAGGTAGCAGACCTTTTGTGAGCCACCTGAGGGTAAAATTTAGAGAAGGTAGGAACCATTCAACACAGCTGCCCATTTGTGAGCCACCTGATGGTGACATTTAGAGGAGGAACGTGCCATTCCAACATAGCAGACCTTTTGTGAGCCACCCGCAGGTAAAACTTAGAAGAGGAAGGTGTCATTCCAATGTAGCAGTAGCAACACGCCTGTGTGCGCAAGTGAGTCGCAGCGTGGGCAAAGGGTTCATGCATGCGCTAGCGCGCAAGTGATGTTTTGGACATGGCCTCTTCATCACCAAGTAGATGCATGGATCGCTTGCGCAAGTGAGGTGAGTTTTGCGTGCGCAAGTGAGCTGCGAGCCAATCCCAATTTCCCCAGGTTGCCGTAAATAGCAGCGAACTGTGAGCCCCAAGGATTTTGAACAAATTTCCGAAGAAAAAACAAAAAAACATCCGAATTAAAAGTGCCCCCCTTGATTATTATGGGGCGTTCATGAATCCTAGGTGCGCACTAAAACAAACTCATACAAGCCCTATAGAATTCCAGCCACCATTGATTTATGGCCTTCAATGGACCAACCCTTGTTTTGCGGGTCAACCGGCCTCGTTTTGATGGTCATCTTGGAAGGCTAGGGACCCCCACGGATCCCACATGCGTGACCCACCTGAGGCCCCAAAACAGCACACCAGCGTTTCGGGCCAACATGTAGCGTTTCGAGCACGGCTATCGACCCAGAGCCCAAGGAGCATGAAACTGGAGTTGTGGAAACTCTTCCGCGAAGATGTCCGGGACCTCTTTGAGCTGACGACCTCCAACATGTCCTTTGGGCGGCACGAGCTGACGAACCACCTAGTCACCGAAAGTGACCAAAACCGTTCAAAGAAATGGAGGTCGCTTTGCCGGAGAAGGTTTGAATGGTGGGACACAAATCCTGGGGATATCCTTTGGTTTTTTTTGAGAATCCGGGCCTGGACCAATGGGAAGGGTTTGGTTCGGGTCCTGACCCCTGCTACCAATCTCGAATTGGTGGTACCCCAAAACTGGTGCAACAGCAGTCTGTTGACACTGCTTTTGGAAGGGATGCAGCCTCCAAACTTCCCCTTTCGTAGCTGTATGATCTGCACCCGTCCAACGAGAAGCAGAGGACTTACCACCAGCAGTAGTATCAGGCAGTGACTGTGCTGCTGTAGTTGGTCGTCAATGTAACAAGGGGTTGTTGACTCGCATGGCAAGCACTGCCGGATTTGGAGAGTGATTTCGCTCCGCACGATGCGATTTCGATGGCGCACTCTCTGAGCGCCAACGAGTCCACAGCTATGTATGCACTGGTCCACTACCCAACAATCCATGACGGCCGATGGGACGTCCCATGCATGGTTTTTGATGGGGGTTGTGCCAACGAGGCGAGAAGTGCAACAATTCTCATATTCTTTGCCCCTGAGTGGTTGGTAAGGAAGCAATCATTCAGAAGGACATAATTAGAATTTTTTACATAGAAAGACCATGTTCATGTTGGTTTCAGATTTTTTCCACATGTTTTTACCACATGTATTCCTTTTTTGACGATTTTCGACCAATTGGACATGGTCCAGTTTCATCGTCCCAAGTGGGATCGCTGCCCTCAGCAAGGAACACTTACATGGTGGTGGGAGCCTTGCTGGTGACCTGCATCATTGGTTTCATCTTCGTGGGCTATCAGGAGAGACGTGAGGGTGGATTTTTACAGGCCGGGGATGGGTGAGACACCTCCAAAAGGAATCGGGTCCAGCATCTGGGCAAGGAATAGTGACTATATGATCTATAGGAAACCAGGTGAACCGAACTCTTTGGATGGTCTGCTTGCTGGCGAAGGCGTGGGACACTGTTCCTAGAAGCGGGCGAGCTGGGGGCGAGCTGGGGCCAACCCAGTCCCAAGCAGTTCGAAGCTTGTTCCAATATGGCTCTTGGCCAGCACCTTCCAACAGGGTCTCTGAACTGGAGGCTGAAATGCAGACTGATTTCAGTCGCAGGTGGTGACCTGTTGGGTCCGGAGATTCACTCAGTGGCCGGGACTCGGGGAGTTCCATCCAGACTGCCAGGTGAGGATGGTTTCTTTTCAACAAAAACATCCACAAATAACACCTGTGGAGCTGATGCTTGAGCTCGGTCTTTTCTGAGCTCGGTCATGCTCGGTCATGCTGGGCATCCATGAAAGCTGGTCTGGCACTTCTTCGTTTTCTTGTGCTTTGCCAAGTTTGATTTGCAACTTAAGGCAGAACCGCATATATCGCATACACACGGTTGTTTCGTTTTCTCTTGGTAATATCTTTGGAAATACATTTCGTCGTTCGGTTTTCATGCTTTCTCCATTGGGGTTTTGTGGTTGGACTGATGAAATTGCTTCATAGCTTTCTTCCGATGAAGAAACCGTTTCGCTGTCAGTCAGCTCTTTGTTTCCAAAACCGTTCCAAATAAAGTCAAAGGTTTCATTCGTCATCGGGATTTCAACTCCGTTGCTTACAAAGTAAGAAGGCATACTGCAAATATAGTTAATCATAAATCTTAATATCTGTTTAAGTAATTTTAAGCACTTTTTGCCCGATGGGAACTATGTATATTCAGTTTGTGCTCCTCCTCTGCCGTCTCGTCTGCGGTGGGCGGTGGGCGCCATCGCCGTTTGGTGTGTTGGTTCTTCGCTTCCTCTGGGAGACACCCTCTCTCGATGCTTCTCCGGAATCGAATTCCTTTGAAGAAGATGGAAAGAAAACCGAAGAAGATGGGGGCATTACGGCATTAAGTTAAGAAATAGCACACATTGTTTCTACTAGTAAGGCACTTAGTTACTAGTATAGCGATGCACTTGTTACTACTAGCGATGCACGGAAAGAAAAGAACCCTTCTCAAACATCTCTTCCGGATTCTCCCCCATCGCGGATTCGATCCCTCGATTTCCTCTTTTGGGGTACTATGGATTCGAATTCCTTTTCACAACCTCACCCGTTCTAAAATGAACACATGTGATATTTTCCATGCTGTCTGGGATCCTTTGAAGAAGATTAGAAAGAAGGCTTTCATCTCAAACATCGTACGGGACTCTCCCAACTGTTTTACGTTGATCTGAGTGATCGTCCTTCCAGCTCGCGAGCGCGCTCGAGGAGTTTCCAATGGAGCCGCCGTGGCTGCTGCTGATTTGGCACCTCGGCCGGACGCTGCGCAGTGGATGGGTTTGAAGTGGCAAGTTCAGTGAAGCTGGGGGGATGGGATGGGAGGTGTGGTGGGTGTATGCGAGTGTGTTTTTGGCTAGGGACCCACAGCCAGGTGGTGTTCGCAACAGAGGGAAACACTGGCAACACCGAGAAACACGGAGGGTGCAGGCCTGGTTTTGCATTAAACCTCATGTTCTATTTGCTTGTAGAGAGTGTCGTCTTCGAACAGGTGTTTTTGAGACCCTGGCATTGCAAGACCACTCAAATTGGAGGTTGACCTGGTTGTAGTGCAGTGTCAAATCCTGGATTAAAGCAATGCTGTTTCTGGAAGTCAGCAAGTCAGCATCTGGAATCAATGGGGTGGGCGACCGGAACTCGGGCACGATCCAATTCCGCCTTGTTTGGGTGCCAAGAGACTACATGTATTCTGACACTCCATGTATGGAACATCCACCCCAGACAGACCACGTTTAGAAAAAAAGAAACACCCCAGTTGATCGGCCATATCTTCCATGATACTCTGATACTTCCGCACCTTGCAACAGGCACTAAGAGGTGTCAATTGGTGACCTGGCAGTGAGGTGTACATGAAGTGTTACCCAGTGGATCCCAGTTACCACTATATATAATGAACCAGGGATTCTAGGTCTATGGGTTTAGTCTTTGGAACCACTGGTTACCAGCTATATAGTGGTAACTGGATGCACTGGGTTAGGGATTCGGACCACATGACATGGAGTGTTTGCAGCGGTTCTCGTGGTCAAACCACTCCATGTCACGTGGAAATGATCCGAGCCGAGGCCACTGCGTTTCAACGATGCCCATTGGGCTTCCGGTCGCCCACCATGATTTCACTGGATTTTTCATTCCCAAGCACCATTGTTTTACGGATTGTGGAACGGTCGACTTCCTGGTGCCAGCACCGACGACCAACAGGTCACCAATTGAAACTTGTTAGGGCCCTGCCCAACCCTCCATGTCGGAGACCGGACTTGGGTTCGGTGCTGGTATACAGATTGCACCATGGTTTTTCATGGCGAAATCCATGACCGACCGATAGGACCAAGTCACTCAAGTCGCGAATGAAGCGGAGAGGCAAGAAGCTCGAGTCGGTCCGCCTTTTCAATTCCGCTGACCTGATCTTTGTAGCCTAAAGCCTGCAGAGTCAAAGATGAAAAGACTGGTCTGACAAGTTTGGAGAACCTGATTGAAGGGGAACCAAACCGGTCTACTTCCTTCCCTGCCAACACTGTTTCCGTTTCTTCACGACGTGTTCTTCCGTCCAACCCATCGCACCGTCGAAACGCAAACGTCGGACCGGTCGAGACGTCTCGAGCGGTTCGGACGTAACGAAAGGAACAACAGCGTGTTCAGTGCGATCACCTTTGGCATCTTGAGCGTTTGGTTGGCCACGCACGGTTCCAGCAGTTCCAACTCGGCGGCGATCAAGATTCTCACGCAGGTGGGTTTGGTGGGGTGGGGTGGGGTGTTCGGTGTCTTCCGCTGCTTTTGGGCACGGATGGAACAAGTGGAGATGAACAGTTGAAAAGGAAAGAGCTTGGAGCTGCTTCAGTTAGTGAGCACAAGGCCGTGTGTTTGTATCCCTAGGCTTCCAACTACCATTGACTTTGTTGCCTTTACCGAACAAACATTGCTTTACTTGAATCGTTTACGATATTTGCAAAACCAGGTCAACCACTTTAAAGATGGCCGAACGGAAGGCAAGAGGGTGTGTGTATGTGTGCGTTTTTCTTTTTTGTTTGGGGGTGGGGTGGGGTTGAAGGAGGTCTGAAGAGCAGAGAGCAGGAGACAAAATCCCTTGGGGGAACTTGTTCAGGCGGCCCACGTTTGAAGGAGTTCAATGGCACCACAGAAGTCGAGTTCCCAGCGAAGTAAAGGAAGTCCCCGAAATCAGGTACTCTAAGGACAATTCTCGTCATAGTCTTCTGTACTCTCAGGGTACTACCATGGAAGTGCAAAGTCCGAAGACTATCACTGACTATAGCACCCTAGACGTCCAAGACCATCAACAAAATTGTTGACCTGGTTTTTGTAGTATAGTGTAAAGTCCCTTAGTTGATTCGGGATTCAGGCTATTAAATCAATAGTGGGCCAGGAAGCCTAGGGCCATGTCTAGTTTTGGGTCCCCTAGAAATCCAACCAGGGGACCCCTTTTATGTGCATGTTATCATGTTATTGCATGTTCATCTCTGTTCAAACGCGTTCGCCCAACACATCAGTGCATCCGGCCTTGTGGTCGGAAGAATGGCCTTTTGGTCGGAAGAATGGCTTTGTTGCAATACTGTATTACTCTATTTTTGCAAAAAAACACATACATTTGATAACATTTGGGTTTCACATGGGTACGGTTTTGTATGGTATGTTTCGTCCAAAACGGCTAAATACGCTCATTCTTTAAGAGTCTACACGGGACATTCTGTCCAACTATGGCCTATGGCCTATGGCCACACCAAAAAGAAACGTGAAAACCATACGCCATGCGCCAGGAAAAACCCTAAACCCTCAACCCTAATACATCCGTGGACTCTGGACTTGGGCACCAGGTTGCAGCTTTTGCCTGCTCGGGTCCATAGCCGGCCTCGCAGTCCGCTCGCGGTCCAAGCGACCTCCGCGTGGCCAGGCGGTGCGACCTCCGGTGCCCGGCTTGAGCGAGGTTCGTGCAGCCATGCGACTGCAGGCGAAAACGACCACGACGACGGGCGATGTGGACGGGCCGAGGTTCTCGCGCCACACTTGGGCGAGAGGAGGCCGTACACAGGGGAAGAGGGCGGGCTCACCAAGAGGAGGCGTTCCTTTGTTTGTGACCTCTAGGTTTGGACCAGGTGACCATCAGGTCCAAGTTCCGATCAAAACAGAGGTCACTCAGGCTGGTCCTGGTACTGGTATAGATGGCCATTTTCTCTTCCCTAGAGGTTCAGTCTGACGAAACCAGGTGTTTTTACACTTCGCAACTGGTGTTTTTACCACCCAAATGAGGTCTTCCCTGATCGGGATTGCTTGGTACGACTGTCTCGGTCGGTACCGGTGGTCGTAGGGCGTGGGATATTCGCCCGAAGAACGGTAGATCATCAGACGCCTTCCACCCATGTTCCGAGGTACCAACGGTAGACTCCAAGCATACCTGCAGAGGTAGGTTAAGTGACCGGGACCATAGGACCCGTCAGGGGTATCGAAGTGAGATAGTCGAACGTCCGGGTTCTGACCCACCTCTGTTGGTCAAACATGGAAGACCCAAGGGATCCCAATGGCCTCAACTCGGCACGGACCCCCTCCAGCTCCTGGTCCGTTCGGACCATCACTGGTTCGGACGGTTGGACCGCAGAGACTGCCAGGTGATCCTTCACTCGATGGATTAACGTTATTCGAACAACGATGTTAGAGGGAAAATAGAGGAATCCTATTATGGCTTCAAAATTAATGAGTCGTTAGGTGCTTAAGAATTCCTGGACACCACTTCTGGGACTCACAGACGACTGGAGGCTTTTAACTGGGGGGGAATCCTAACCCGATGTCCCATTCGGGGTGCGCATTGCAAGGTACTCTCAGGGTCTTGAAACCCTTTCACCCTGGAAACCCAGATTGAACAGTTTTGAACCATTCTGGTTGTTTCACCGTGGCGTTTTTGAGATTCTTTACACAGCGCCTTTGTGGTTGTTGGGACTGTGGTTCCTCATGACTTGTTTCTGGGACCAGGTCTTCAGGACTGTGGAGGGTCCTATTTGACACCCCAGGAGGGTCCTGGCCTCAACCCCTTTTGGCCGCCGAAGATGAGAGGATTCATCCCACAAACTCAATGCCTCCTCCTCCTCCTCCTTCTCCGCCTCCTTGGGCTTTTGAAAAGCAGAACGCAGCTTGAGCGTGTGAAGACCCAGACCAGGTGTTCACCGTCCTTAGGTTCAACTCCAGATCCAGGGCGCCCAAAAACTCAACTCCCACACTGGCGGCGGTTCCCGCAGGAGCAGTACGAGAAAAGCGGGGTGAAGAACTTCTTCATGCCTCCGGCCTTCGTTCCGGGTGCCACCCTCGGAGGCCGAGAGCTTCCTGCGTTCCGCGCCGCGCGACGCGAATCGACGCGACGACACGACGGAATGCTGACGCCACGTGGCGGAAGGGCGACGATGCCCGGAGGACGTGCGGAAGGGATCGTGCGACCGAAGCCGAGGAGATGAAAAGAGTGAAAGGTGGACCTGGGTTTGTGTAAGGTAGTTAGGGACAACCAATCCTTGGGATATGACCTGGGTTTTGAAGCGTATGCCCCGGTTTCGCGGGTTTTGAGTACCACACACCAAACTGAGGAAACTGCCAGGATGGATGGTGCTTAGACCGCAAGACTAGCCGAAGTCGACATATGCCCCTTTGACGACGGATTCAGACAGTTCAGTTCTCCAACTTACCACGCCTATATAGGCCTTGTCAGATCATTCTTTTGAGAGGAATCCATTTTTTTACCTCTCAGTCGTCCCAAGTGATGTCTAGTGAACCTCCAACTGCAGACCTCCATGTATCCTCTCCGCAACTCAGCCGGAACTCGTCTCCCCCGGACGAGTGTGGTTTAGAGAACCGGTGGCGCCACTTGCTTCCTATCCCAGCTTCGTGGTGCCCTTGGAGAACAGTTTGTATCACAAGTCATGGAAAGAGATCAACAATTCCCTATGTTCCCAACCACAAATCATTTCAGAATAGTCTTACTGAACAATCAGGGTTTTACTAAGGATTTTAGGCTCCAGCACCAGCTCAACCATTTTTCGATTGATCTTAGAAGCCCACCCGTAAGAACCCTTGGACTGGCGGTGGACCCGAAGAATCAACACCTTCTCCGTTTTCAGTTTGCAGATTCTCACGGCAATAAACTGGCACTACTAGGAGCAATGTTTGCTACGATCGGGGCTCCTGGCATCGCTACGAACGGAGCAAAGGACGCTAATTACTCGGGGCTCCTGGCCGTACTACTAGGAGCAAGGACGCTACTAGTAACAAGAAGCTACTCGGGATGGGATCTGGGTTCGATCTGCCGGGTGGATACTTTGGATGTTTTCCATCCTCGGCGGTTCAAGGATGATCTCGGCTCGAACCGTGGGCCGTGCGTTGTCGCTACTCGATTCGGAGCTCGCGCCATATACCCCGTACTGTGCTGCCCCTCTGGACGCCTGGAGGTTTGATTCGTGGTCCTGTTTCATTGGCATCATCATTGGGGTGGTTCTGTTACCTCTGATTGAGGTTTTGGTGGCTTTTAGGGTCTGGGCAATCCGAAGATTGTTGAGCCCCGCTCCGACCGAGCGAACTCCGGCCTCCCGGTCGCTATACCGGTTGCATTGAATGCCAAGCACTCCCATCAATCCTGCTGACTTTTACGCCTTGCAGGATCAGGTGACATCGTTGGGTGGTGAGGTTCAGAGCTTGCGATCCCAGCTGAACAGCACTCGAGGGGAGCTGAGGGCACTTCAGAACACCGTGTCTGAGGCTTTCGAGGACACAGGTTCGGACGGACCTTTCACCCTCATCTCCGAGCTCCGTGACAGTGAGGCATTGACCTATTCAGCTAAGGCACCCCCGACTCAGGTTCCTTCGGCTGCATCTCAGGCACCCGTGACTCCCAAGCTGGACTCTACACGAGTGTGTGCAGCGCAGAGTGTGGGCAAGTTCCTTCGAAGAGCTGTCTCGGGCCTACCGCGCGGTCCCTCAGGTCGAGATCAGATCACTCAGGCCTCTCGCTATTGGGTGGTCGTCCGATCGTTTGACAACATTGAGTACAAGCCTGTTCGTGTGTTCTCGAAGTGGGCTGCTGCAAAGCAGCTTGTGAAGCGAGGCTCCGATTTAGGTGACGCAGTGTTCGTTGGTCTGCCATCCATTGAGGACATCAACACCGCTGTCCAAGCGGGCGAGTTCGAGTGGGGTGGACTGATTGAGGGATGAGCGGCGGAGGAGGATTCGAGGAATTCGGTGAGGAGGAGGTTGGCGAAGACTTACCCCCTCCTTTTGTTTGGCAAGAGGGCAGGATCGATTTCAACTATCCTGTCGGGATTTTGCAATGCACTTCACCAGAGGTGGCCTGTCAGATCATCTTCATATCCCGCCTGGAAGGGCAGGTGTTGGTGGCAGTTCCTTACACGGCATGGCACCGCCTCAGAGCACAACGATTGTTGCCCGTCAGTGGCCTCTCCAAAGTGACGGCTGCAGATGTGGCTATGAGCGGACCGGACGACAGAGTGCTGGTCAGTACAGAGACTATGAAACTCTGGCTGGGCTTCCTTCGCGACGACCTGGTTGCGAGTGTGATTTTCCCTGGAGAAGAGGAGGAGATCGAAGACGACGTGCTCCTTTTCCGTCAGGATGGTGCAGCAGAGTGTTATCCTGCTGCGGAGGCATTAGTCGATGTTGCCAAAGACCACTTTGCTTTCTTTTCAGTCCCCGAGGAGCTGGAGGAGCCCGTTTCCCCCCAGCCCCTGCACGGCGCCGCATCTGGGTCTCAGGAGCTTTCATTGAGAGTCCAGGGCTTGGAGCAAACAGTCAACTCCATGGCCAGCGGCATACAGGACATCCTGAACAAGATGTCACAGACTCCAGCCCCCCCAGGCCCGAGCACCAGGGCTCCCAAAACCAGCCGCCCTCCAGCGTTGAAGATGGATGCCAAAGCTGCTCAACCCGGCAGGCAAGAAGCGACTCAAGCTGCTTTCCCGCTGTTGGACCCTGCAATTGTGAAGTCTGCTCAACAGGCTGGTGTCGACAACAGCGTCTTGACGGAGATGCAGAGGTTGTTGAGTGCGGCGGGTCCCTCAAAGAAGCTGAAGGAGCCCAAGACGTCGCCGCCCAAGAAGGCGACCGAGCTTTCAGAGTCAGAGGAGGACGAGGACCCCGGAGGAGGTGCTGGGTCGGGCGAGGCTGTTTCGCCCACCGGCCAAGATCCAATGATAGCTGCTTTGGGGAAGCTGACAACTATTGTGGAGACCCTGGCCGCAGAGAAGGCCAAGAAGAAGCCTGCCTTAGACTCCATTCTAGATGGTGTGCATGGACATGGAGAACATGTCGGCTCTGGAGGTGGCAAGCGCTCAAGTATAGCCAGGCGAGCCTTGATGCGAGCTCTGGTTCACAGCCCGGAGGAGATCTACGGGTTGATAGAAAAATTGATGGAGGAGGACTTGAGGTGCCAGAGCAGGACCCCCGGCCTCAGCGCACCTGCAATCTCAGCCAGAGCGTGGGTGGAGCATCGTTCATACATCGGTCAGTTCAAGACACTAGCTCATGCCAGCTGGGGAGTCAGCGGCGTGCTGGATTGCTTGACAGCTGGCAAGGTCGAGGAGGCGCGCGCACGGACGGCCTTGCTTCTACTCCAGTTAAATCAAGTGGCAGCAGATCGAGGTTCATGGCAGATGGCAGCTGTGCTGAGCCTCGAGGCTCTTCCCCCGTTCGCCAACCTGGCTTCGCACCATCCGCCGGACGTGACGATGGGAGAGCAGCCGTTTTCAAAGCTGCTCGATCCACGATGGAGCGAAGTGGCGATGGCTCAGCTCCGAGACACGGAGGACTACCTCGAGAAGAGGAGGAAGCTTCAGAAAGGTGGCAAGAAAGAAGACCATGGCAGCGGCGACGATCGCCCCTCTCCGAAGAGAAAGGCCAAGTCACGGCCTTCTCGGAAGGGGGAAAACACTGCAACCCCCGATGCATGAAGCGCCCTCCTGGGCGCCATGGAAGTGCTGAGCCTGCATCGCCGGATGCGACAGTTCCGGGCTCCAGAGCTTCTTCAATTAGAGTTGATGCAGTGATGAATTCACTACCACGCTGGCTGCTGTCAACAAGTTGCAGTTTGTGTGATTTTTTGCGTACTATTCTCCAATGCCCACAGCCCTCGTACAGAGAGCTACCATCTCAGCCTTCCAGATCGACATGGCCCATGCCAATCCCATACCCGGAGGCTTTCCGCTCGGGCCGACAAGAAGGCCGTGAAGAGCTGGCAAAGAAGAGGCTGCTCTCTCTTCAAGTCGTCATGTTGGATTGGTTCTGCTTGGGATCACCCTCAGTCGCGCCGCACAGTTTGCGACTGGGCGCCAAGCTGACTGCGAAGCAATGGACAGCAGTTGAGATCATCAGACATCTGGGCTGGGATGACAACACACCGCAGTTTATTGAAGCTGAAGGCATGGGAAGAGGGGCAGCAAAGTTTGAGGGCTATGAGGATGCCATCAATGCTCTGCACCGTGCTTTAGCTTTCACAGAGGGAAGACAATCACACTATTTTGGTGTCTACGGTACAAAACCGGAATCCGTTTATCCTCCTGCATCCCTCAGTTGTGGTACAGTTGTTGGAGCGCTTCCCAAGGTGACCGTCAGTCCAGCAAAGGCCATCGAAGCTGATCGGATTGAGCTGCCGGCTCCGCCTGCTTTCAATCCTGTGCCACTTCTGGACGATGCAACCCGTGAAGTTTATGAGAGCCCTTTGAAGACTGGCGTGGCCAAGGAGGACCTCGGCCATTCCCCTGTCGTCCACATTCGTGCGACCAAAGAGAACAAGCTTGAGTTGCTCAAGAAGCTCTGCCAAACTGGCCGGCTGAAGCCCTTGCATTGGAGCAGTGTGAGAAAGGAGCATTTGTCGGGGCTCTTTGCAGTTCCGAAATCCCTGACTCGCGACCGCCTGATACTGGATGCCAGGCCTGCCAATCAAGCAGACACGGCTCTCAATTGCTGGTGCAAGACGATGGCATCAGCGGCTATATTGGTTGACGTTGTGTTGACAGATGAACAGGTGCTAGTTGCTTCAGGGGAAGACCTCAGGGACTTCTTCTACCAATTTGCTGTCAGCCAGGAGAGAACGACCAGAAATGCTCTTGCTGATCCTCTCTCCCTGCAAGAAGCCTTGTATGTCTTCGGCAAGGATGCCATACCTGCTGACTGGACGGCTCCAATTTTTTGTGGGCTGTCTACATTGGCTATGGGTGACCAGAATGCCTGCGAGTTTGCACAGTGTTCGCATTTGTCGATGATGCTTCGTGCTGGAGTGTTGACAGAGCAAGAGATGTTGACATTGCAAGGTGACATTCCGAGGGGTATCCTTGGGGTGGGAGTCATCATTGATGATTTGGTGCTGCTAGAGAAGTTGCTATGGAGCAAGCTGGGTGATCAGCATCAAGTCACTGCACGAACGCTGGCTGATGACAGGCTCGACCTTGCTTTGAAAGCCTATGCCGAACACAAGCTGGAGGTGAACCTCAAGAAGGAGTTCCGCAATCAATTGAAAGCCAGATTCTGGGGTGTGGATGGCAAAAAAGGCATTTTGCGCGGCTCGTCCCTCCGGCTGTGGCCTCTCATTGTTGTGACAGCACGAGTAGCTATGCTGGGGCTATCATCAGTTAGTTTGCTTGAAGCTATTGCTGGATCGTGGGTTTCATTGTTTTCCATCCGGAGGAGGTTTTTGAGTGCAATGAACTTTATTTTTGAAGCCATAGCAATCCCGCAACAGGCTGCTATCATACGGTTGTCCACAGACATGGTCAGCGAGCTTTGGAGCTTGGTTTTGTTGGGTCCCCTTGCAGCGGCCAACCTCAGGGCTCAGTACACCCCATTTATCACTGCAACAGATGCCTCGAACCATTGGTTGGCAGCTGTTCGTGCTTCAGTACCTCAAAGCATTGTTTCCGAGGCGGCGAGAAGAGGGTTGCGCAAAGGCAGATGGTCGAAGCTCTTGCCTCCGCACAAGGCCTGGCGACGCGCTGCGGGGGTTCTGGACGAAACGGAGGAGCTGCCGGAGGATTGTTTTGATGCAAGGCCTCTTTGGGTCACTCTGGCCAGGTGTGTCGAATATACTGAACGTTGGCGCAAACGAGTTGAGAAGTCGACTCACATCAATGTTCTTGAACTCAGGGCGCACTTGCTCGAGGAACGTAGGCTTGCACAAGAATACACCCATCGGCGTTTCCTTTATGGTTTGGACTCGCAGGTTACTTTGGGCTCGGTTGTGAAAGGCAGGGCAGCTTCCCGTGCCTTGAACAGAGAACTCATCAAATCTATTCCACACATTGTTGGGAGCGATATCTACTCTTCGTACATGTACTTCCCCAGTGCTGTTAATAGAGCTGATGGTCCCACCAGAGATACTCACCCAGCTGAGCCAGACGTGCCTTTGCCTGACTGGTGGGAAGACGCCAGCAATGGCGACTATCGCGGTTTGGACCAGTGGATCGATGACAACGAGCTTCGGGTTGACTTCAAAGATTTCTGCTGCGCTGACTTGTTGACTCCTGTGCGGCCTGATGACAGACCGCAGCGTCGCCTGCCTCCGCGGCAGCGACAGCAACTTGGCAGAACTGATTGCAGGGCGTTTGACGACCCGCAGTGCTGTGAACTTAGCGCTGAGGCGCTAGAACTGCTCAACAGTTTTCCTACAAAGCAATTTATGTTGCCCAAACACTTCACCGGTTTCTTAGGCCCTGGTGTTCTGGACCTTTTCTCTGGGTGTTTTGGGGTTGCAAAAGCGCTCGTGCGCAACGGCGCCCCCTGGGTTCTTTGCTATGAATGGAACAGGGGAAGCAGTGAAGACCTGTTAGATGAGGGAATCAGGAACAAGATCATCAAGCTCATCAAGGCTGGCGCTGTCAAGTGCTGGGGAGCGGCCCCCATCTGCGGTTCGTTTTCAGTCGCGGTGACACCGCCTGTCAGATCGAATCAGTACCCTAGAGGGCTGCCGGGGATCTCTCCGGCCATGAAAAAGAAAGTTAGAGACGGCAATTCGCATTGTGACTTTGCTATGGACCTCGTTGATCTGAGTGAGTCCTGCGACAGCCAAGTGCTCTACTGGATAGAGAATCCAGACACTTCATGGTTTTGGAGACAGCATCGTTGCAGCAAGTATAGGAGTCCCACATCTCCCTTGACATTCAGGTGCTGTTTTTGTCGATTTGGCACGGCTTGGAAGAAACCAACAAGATTTGGTACAAACATTCAAGGCTTAGCTGGTTTGCGTCTGATGTGTCTTTGTAAGAAGAATCATTTGCAGCTGCGGGGCTCATCGCCCTATGGCAAGGCATGGACAAAGGTTGCAGAGCCTTATCCTCGACACTTGAACGACCTGCTGGCTAAGGCCATGTGCATCGCCGCTGGATGGATAAAGCAATCACGTTTGGATGTTGCCGGGTGCTCAAAAACCGGGTCACTAAGGCCTGGAGAAGCGACCGTGCCCGGACCTCGACCGCGTCCGAAGCCGCGCGAACATGACTTGGATTCCGTGCAGCTGCGATCTACAACGACATTGTTGCGAGAGTCTCAAGCCTTAGAGATGTTCATGAATTGGTCACGTGATTTTTTGACATGTGTGCAACCTGAACATCTTTACCCCCGGATCCCTGAATTTTTGGCAGCTGCTCTCTGTACATATGGCAGACGGCAGTACAACAAAGGTGGAGCTCTCAGTAGTTTTCGTCACTTGCTGCTGTGTTGCCAAAGGTGGGTGCCGCCTCTGAGAGGTCTGTCGTTGCCTTGTTGGGATCTTGTGGCAAAGTGGGAGCTCATGGAACCAGTTTGTCATCGAGTTCCAGTGCCGGAAGGTTTGCTGCAAGCATTTGTTGTGATCGCATGGCAGTTGAAATGGTATTCATGGGTAGGAGTGACTTTGATAGCATACTACGGCGCAGGCCGCGTTGGTGAGGTTCTTAGATGCTTGAGACGCGATCTGGTGTTTCCCCAGGATATCCTGGATCGCGACTTTGGAGGAATCTTTTTGCAGCTGAAACAGTTCAAGGCCTTGGGCCGCCAGCCAGCGCGGATTCAGCACATGGAAATCCGTGATGAGACAGCAGTGCGAATACTCACGGCTGTTTACGCTCATGTGCCCAAAGACACCCCGCTGTATGGAGCTTCACCTTCAGCATACAGAAGACGCTGGGATGCTGTGCTGCGGATCTGCCAAGTGCCCTCTCAGTTACGGCTGACGCCGGGAGGATTGAGAGGAGGTGCTGCTGTGATGCACTATAGAAAGCATACACCTATCAATGACATACTCTGGCGTCTTAGGCTTCGCTCACAAACAACGCTGGAGAGTTACCTACAAGAAACTGCTGCTAGTGCTATTTTTGTGAGTTTGGACCCCAAAGTTCGTGAGTTGTTGTTTTCCATCGCTTCGCTCTTTGGATTGCTTGTGCCTTTACAACCGGGAGCTTATTCGAAGCCATGTTGACCGCCGGCCCTGGCCACCGGCCATGCTGGCCATTCAGCCTACTGCCTGGCTCGCCTTGTCAATGGTGGATGAAGTTGCCTGTCGCTTCGGTTTCGATAGGCCTACGAAGCTTCA